TCTCCGCAGATAAAGCCCAAAACAACATCGTTTTTGTTTGTAAATCACATTACATAAACTGCTTGATAAATGAATGAGGTATTGACGATTTACTTGGAAACTCAACATATACTTCCACGACACTTACCAAGGAGGAAATCCTGGATAATCATAGGTCTGTTCTATGTTCCTTTGGAATTTCAAACAAAGATGAAGAACTGAATCTTCCTTCACTGTATTGGATACCTAAATTACATTAGTGTCCATATAAACAACATTATATTGCTGGGTCTTCTAAGTGCATACAATCTAAGATTCTTTCATCTTGCAATAGTATTAAAACATTTGACTTTTCAGCACTTAACATAAGTATTCCCCAATCCAATCTAAAAGTCAAATTGAAAGAGTTGGTCCTGCTTTGTTTCATAAAAAAGAATGGCCAACGTAGATACAAGTATCTTGTCTTAGAAGGATGAATCGTACTTTGTGAAAAATCACAAATATTCTCTGAAACTGACATTATCAAGATGCTCGATTTCTTGATTGGCAACATATTTGTTAAGTTTGGAGGACGCGTTTTTCAACCAACAATCGGCATTCCCATGGGCACTAACTGTGCTCCTCTTTTTGCCGACTTGTTCCTTTATTCATATGAGGCTGACTTCATACAAAGCTTCTTAGGAAGAAAGAAAAGAAGTAAGCATTATACTTTAACTTCATTTTCCGCTACATAGATGATGTCCTCTCACTAGATATTTCAAAGTTTGGCGACTATGTTGAACGTATCTATCCCATCGAACTTGAAATAAAGGATACAACAGATACACTTAAGTCTGCCTCATATCTTGACTTACATCTTGAAATTGACAAGGATGGTCGGTTAAAAACAAAACTTTACGCCAGAAAAGATGGTTTCAACTTACCAAATGTGAACTTTCCATTTCCATGTAGCAACATTCCATCAGCGCCTGCATATGGAGTATATATCTCTCAGTTGATACGATATTCCAGGGCTTGCTTCTCCTTTTACCGGTATGATTTCCTTAATAGATGGTTGCTCTCATAAGGAAGCTATTATACCAAGAGTTCAAGTGGTGAAGTTGAAATCATCCCTTCGTAAATTTCAAGGACTCCATCACAAGTTGGTTGACCGTTATGAAATAACTGTTTCACAGATGACGACGGATATGTTCCAATTGTCGTTACCACAATCCTGTGCTCCTTTTTCCCGAATGTGACATACCGAATTAGACTTATCACCCCGTTTATACTCACATGAGCAACACGACGGGTACCAAATGTGGAGCAGGATCTGCTTACCCTTCCGGATCACCTGAATATTTAGCAAAATTCAATCAGTGCCTGCATATGGAGTATATATCTCCCAGCTCATAAGATATTCCCTAGCGTGTGATTCCTATCATGATTTCCTTGATGGAGGGTTACTGCTTGTATGAAAGCTATCGCATCAATGGTTCAAAGTGGTAAAGTTAAAGTCATCCCTTTGAACATTTTACAGGTGCATCATGATTTGAAAAATTGTAATGGAATATCTGTCACAGATGACCAGGGATATGTTCCAATTGTCAAAACAAAAATCTGGTACCTTTTCCCTTGACTGTGAAAATACTGAATACGACATATTGCTGGATTTGTAATTACCATGAGCAACACAACGGGTGCCACATGAGGAACAAGAACGGCTTACCTTCCAGAGCACCTGAGTTCACCCCCAGTTTTGGTGGGGTTAATGTTTCTCAATGCAAGTCAGTACACAGAGTCAGAAACCAAATTAGTAGTTAACATATCTGTGGGGGTCTATATTGAATTTATATACAAATTGCCTAACCCATGTGTTAATTGTGTGTAAATTGAATTTGACATATGGTATGGACACAAGTCTATGGTAGAAAAATCCTCTATGTTGACCCACAAGAAATTTTCTTAGGTTGATTGTGATGTTCCGATTCTGTCTCATTGGCTTTTACCCTATTACTCTCATTGGGATTTCTTAAAACTATTATTAAATTTTCGTGTTTCAAGTTTCATATACTGTGCACATAAGAATCCTTTGTCAATTACATGATTAACTCCCATGTAAGCTCTTTTTCAAAGCGCTTTCTTTTTTTAATCATATCTTATATATCTAAAACAGCTAATATGGAGATATGTCTATCCTGTACCGGTATGTAATTTTGATATTATTTTTTACATGAAAACTTTGCAAAACATTGCAAGTCTTTGAACCATGACTGAAGGTAATGAGATATGCAAATGTTGATACATATCATTGACTTATCATAAGTGGTTCAACTTCATCTAATCTAATCCATGTAATCACAACTTAAACATGTAAACTATGCAAAAATTCAGAGGTCAATAATCAATAGACCATGACTGAGCTCCATGAATCTGAGATGTGCTATTGCATATATAACTGCATACAGAATATCATTGACATACCATTTGTGGTTCCTCTTAAACTGACCAAACTTTAACATGAAAACTAAGCAAAATTTCTGAAGTCAATAGACCATGACTTAGAGGTAGGGCCCAATAAACTCCATCATTGTGGTGAAATATACAAAGCAGAGACTGTACAGTTCTTAGATGGAAAAGTACTTAAAACTGTCTACTTAGCTTTGTTCTCCAGTTTCATCTAGAACTTTTCTCAAATAGATTACGAGGCACCTTGCTAACTGTTTAGCATTTAGACAGAATCAAAAGTTAAACAAAATACATTTTGAGTCTTTGAACACACCAAAAAGTACAATTTTCATTTAATAGTTTGAAAAAAAAGAAATAATCTTGACATAGCAACCTTGCAATATTTGTAAATGAAAATGACTATGGTGTAAATGTACATCAATTAGACAATATAAAACAAATTGATTCGAGAACAATTGAAGGTCTTTCCACATTAAATATCTAAAATAATGGATACAAAACTTCTTTCTGTTTACTCAAAGTTACTATTGGTGTCCAATCATAGGTTTCTTCATATCGATTAAAAAGTATACGATTTCTATATACTTTGTCTGAAATAAGGGAGACAATTTGCTACTTCCAGGTTTGAAAATGTCACTTCGGTTACATGTGATAGCTTTATTCACACTCTGATTCCAAAAATATATGGTTTCTATATACTTTTGCTTGAAATAAGGGTGATAATAAGCTATTTCCGGTTTTTAAAAGGTCACTTCCGGTCTCAAATGATAGGCTTTTGTATGCTGATTAAAATAATGTATGGTTTATGGGTACTTTTCCTTGAAAAATGCACATTTCCAGTTTACTGAAGGTCACTTCGGATTGACCTTCTTCCAGGTCATGTGTCAGCAACCAAATGTAAAAGACCCTATGACTTTATCATGTCCTAATGTGAATTACAGCAAAGGTCAAAATCTAGAACATCAAATTAAACTTAGACCCTGACATGAATTTATAAAGCAAGGACCTCAAATCAAAAGACACTAGGTTCCTACTTTATATGGTTAATGAGTTATGTTGCCACAAAGCTAATTCTAGATATAAGAGGGGAGAAAACCCCATTAAATGTCAACATACCCTTTAAACCTAAACATATGTTATTACATTTCAAATAAATATTTTGTGGATATCTTATACGGTTTCTGAGAAGAAGGTTTCAATAGCAAAAATCAAAATTCAGAACATTACCTTGACCTTTGACCTTGACCTCATTTACTAAATCAAAAGACCCAAGGTCTCAATCACTTGTTGATTACCAGTTACAAATACATATCATTTATATCAAATACATAAGGGGAAATAACTCTCTTTGGAGTCTCCGGATGGCTTTGGCCAAATTGTTTTTTGACATCCCGAGGATGTAACAAGCAATTTCGTCAAATAATTTTGTTGGGTTCTTTCACAGTTGCGAATGAGTAGCAATCTGAAGGAAAACAGTGTATGGGGAGATAACTCTTATCAAGTGTTTGGTAAAACGGTGTCAGTTTTAAAAGCATATAAACTGTTCGATATCATGTACCAAAGCGACATCTTGTGAAACAAAATCTTCTCTCAAGAAATAAAAGTTGCGGAAGAAAAAAAAAATGATAATAATAAGAAAAAATAAACTGTTGACACAGAGATATGTCTTGTCTGTTGGCATAAAAATCAGAAAAAGACAATCTAATTGACAGCAACATTGCTTATTAATTCAAAGTTGCTGGACCATGATCTAGTGGACATGCAGGGCCTGAAAATGGTCGACAAAGTGAAAGCAAAAAGGGGAAAACTTAACATTGAAAATTGCTGAAAATTGTTAATGAATTCAAAGTCGCTGAACCTTGACCTTGGGGGCAGGGTCTCAAAGTAGTTTCTATCAAACTAACATAAGCAGAAAATTTAACAGTTGTTGAATCTGTCGCCGTCACCGTTACAGGAAAAGCAATTCCTATGTCTCGCTTTCCACGACTTTCATTGGAGGCGAGCCAAAAAAATTTAAAGGTCTTTCCACAGAAAAGTGGAAAGACCTCATAATGAACAAGAGGCTGTCAGATTGACAGCAAACTGGATTTTCCTGCATGAAAATGATAATAGCAAATCTGAACCCCTAAACAGGATCAAGTTAAAAAAATAAATGAATTTTTGTAGGGTTCAGAAATGGAAAGGTTAAAATCAATATTGACCTATTTATCCTAAGTGACATAACATCGGAATTTAAGAGAGTACATAAGTACACACATTTGCTCAGCAGGGGTGGGTAGGCAGAAATCACTTTTCGCTACTAAAAGGTCTACAACTCAGCAAAGATAAAAGTTAAAATTGTGAAAATCGAACTTGACCTTCATTTAGTCACAGGAAACAACATATCTAATTTTGAAAAGATCTCGTCAAAGTATTTTCAAGTTATTGCACGGACACTGTTTGGCAGCCAATCTGCCAGCACACCTGCCAGCCCGCACGCCGTACATCACCAAATTTTCCTTTGGAAATACGGTTAAAGAAGGCAAAAGTAGTGCTACTACTACCAGTCTTGTCATATTTTCAACAAAACGCTGTGAAAATGAGATTGCAATTTATTTCAACATTACATTTGCACCAATGAGTAAATAATGAAGGTGATCATCTCATACTGTTCCAGTATACACAGGAAATACAATGACTTTTGATATCTACATAATCCTTGAACACATACATTCAGCATCTCAGCTTGAGACATTGTACTAAATATAAATTGTTGACAGTTTTATTGGTCTGTTTGTCATCATTGATAGCATTATGTTCCAGTTCTCATAGGTGGAGACACCAGGATAACACCATCACCACGAACAAACAACATTGGAATATTTCTCTTCGTGGACTAAAAAATCAAATAAGATTTAAAATAAAAAAAATAGAAAAACATATCAAGTTTCTTTAATACACAATCAACTGTATACAATAGGTTGGACATTTGTAGACAGGATGAGAACATGTTGAACACTAAAATCAGTTGGTAGGTTCTTGGTTGACAGTTACGTAAAGTCAGATTAAATCTATTATTTTGATTGCCTCGTTGTTGTTTGCCTAATATCTGAATGTATCTTGCAAACAAAGACTACATTTAATCTAAATGAAGTGTTATGTGTATTCCAAAGGTATTTATGTATGTAGGCAGGATCTGCTAATCTTTCTGAAGTAACGGAGATCAACCCCTATTTTTTGTTGGGGTTAGGGTTTCCAAGTCTTTAGTTTTCTATGTAATGATTTGTAGACTGTTGGCAGTCTTTACATCATTTTTCTGTTTTTAGCCACTTTTCTTCAACTAGAAATGAGTTTTGAATATCCCATTTGTACCTTCCGCCTCCTTTTTGACAGTTTTTAAAGCCTGATAATCTACAGTTCATTGAATTATATAATTCTATAGGAGTATGGAGATATCTATAATAAATTCCAGTAGAAAAAAAAACTTTTCTTTTTTTTTTAAATGCAATATCACAATAAAAGAATGTCAATAGAAATATTAATACAAACTAAATACAGGTTAATAGCACTTAAAATCATAGTAACATGTTTAGTGTCATAGGACTCATCAGAGCTATGTTTTTAGATACATTGTGCTGAATTTAGCATACATGCATAACATTCAAATGATTTGTGAAAAGTGACTGATATTTAAAATTAAACAAGCATTCTGATAGTATTGCATGGCAATACATAGTCCCCTACCGGTTAAGAATTAATTGTACTGAAACAAATGCTAACTTGATCTATAACTTTTAATGGTGTAAACTATATAACAAAAATATCAAGTCAATATCTTCAAGCGTGATGAAAAAAAGTGTGGAAAACTGATTATTTGAGTGAATTTTCTAAGTCCAAGACCCATAACTCTGCACAAAATCACTAGACCGGAACAAAATTCGAACTTGATCTGTAAGTTGTCATGATAAAACTATATACCAATTATAAAATTAATATCTTTAAGCATAACAAAAAAAGTGTGGAAAACTGATTATTTGAGTGAATTTTCTAAGTCCAAGGACCATAACTCTGCACAAAATCATCAGACCAAAACATAATTCGAACTTGATCTGTAACTTGTCATGATAAAACTATATACCAAATTTCAAATCAATATCTTCAAGCATGAAGAAAAAAAGTGTGGAAAACTGATTTGCCGGACTGACGGATGGACAGACGGACGGACAGACAGACAGACGGACGGAGTGCAAACCTAAAGTCCCCTTTGACTTCGTCGGTAGGGGACTAATTAGAGACAAAACATGATAACAGAAATATTGATGAAGTCCATAGGCCAAATCATCTGAAAATATTATATGCACTTCAATAACGTACAGTGTGCTCCCTTTCAAGATTTCCAAACGAACTGATAATCTAGAAATATGCAAATATGTATTCAACATCTTAAACTGGGGTTAATGCTGGTGAAAACTGGTGAATAAATTCATTTATTTTGCATTACTAGAACCATTTATTAAATTTTGTTTTGCCTGAATAAACTTGGAAGTTGATGAAAATATTATAATTGATAAAATTAAAAATACATTGATTTTATATTCCACTTACACAATTATCAACTTACTTTATATATTTCTTCATATGTTTCTTCATCAATTTCCACTGTTGTAACTGTTTCTTCCACATCACCCATTATCATGTTCAAATGTTGATCATAGGCCTATAAATATAGAAAGAAATTACTTGATTACAATGTACAAAGAAAACCATACATTCAATTTTCACTAATATGAGTTTGAAAATACCAGCCTATATACCCACTGTAAATAAGTTTCCTTTTGGGATTACTGACTACATGTTTAATGATAATCTTTAAGACTTTTTCTTTCATATTATTACATTTCACTGCCTTGATAGTGATGTTCTTAAGGCCAGAGTTTTTTAATTTGTTCAATGGTTTACAGATTTCTTATGTGAAAGATTCTGGTCAGTCGGATGATGTGTTGTTATTTCTGCTTCTGTTTAAATATGATACAATACACATAATTTGAGGTTATGGTGTAATTTTTGTTAGACATGTTTTTGCAATATCATCGGATGATCACTGATATTAATGAAGGTAATATTTTCTTTACTGAATAATTTTTAACAGCAGGGAAAAATTCATCATAGCATTTGCCAAACAAGGGCTTCTTTTTACAGCAATTAATTACTCCTTGTGTCATTATTAAGCTGGAAAATATTGGCTTGTTCTTTTGAGGTGTACTATTTCTAATTGGTTTGATATGCAAGTACATTTATTTGCAGTGACATTTCAGATTTCAATGACAGTGTTCTTGTCAGGGCCTATAAGTACCATGTTGTTATATTTTTACTATGACAACAAATAATTTTCAATGAAACATAATGAGATGTTTGGATAAGAAAGTAAAACAAAAATCTTAAAACAATCAAGTAACATTTTGAACCTCAACCTTTTTTTAAACAACATACTAATGTATCCATGGTTTGCATAAAAAGAAAAGTGCTTGGTCTCAGCACTTTTGAATTTTGCGCTAACAGTGTTGATAAAACTCATTATTTTGAGTCTAATTTATAAGCAGTAGTAAACTCAAAATTCTCAATTTGATTCCAGTGATATTGTTTGCCTCAAATTACCTATGAAATTCGGCTTTGTCCCCTAGAGAAAATTCCCAATTACTAAAAAAAAATGGCAAAAAATTCCTCCCAATAAGTTGTATATTTTTCCCAAACGGTGATGGCTTCAGTAGTAATGTACATAAATTTCGTATTCATGTTATTATTTTGATATTATAAAAGCACTTTTGAGATCCGGGTTTCTGATTAGAATCATTAATGCGGTGTTTGTAACACGCGTGGTTTTTAATGTATTAAGTACTGTCATTTTTTCCGTTTCTTTCCCTTCCCCAAAAAGTTCCTTTCCGGTTGAAAATGTCTACAATTCATGTTTTAGGACAATTATTTCTTATTCAAAACTTCCCAATTTCCCAAAAAAAATGATGCATTTTTCCCCCAAAAAAATGGGTAGAGGTAGTTTTGAAAAAAGACAACAATATCACTGGATTCATTTAGGAAATATTATTGTAAAACTAATATCATGAATCAGGGCGGGCAAACAAATATCTGAGCAAAATTAAACAACAATAACAAACAAAATTGGCAAGTTTGGAGCGGAGATTCAGACAAACAAGACATTAATTTGATTAGGCCAGACTGATGGATAGGTTAAAATAAATATTTCCCCAACAAAAATTGAACAACAAGAGTGCACACACTGAAATGTCTCGCCTACTAAACTGACCATTGATTTTATGTTGATAATCCTACATATAAAGTTTTACTACAAGTATCACATTAACATTTATGATCCAAGAAAATGAGGTCAAGGTCAGATAAACCAAGCCGTAAATACATGTACACCTTTAATACAATCATTCCATACACAGAATATAGATGACCTGTTGCTTATAGTATAAATGAAATAGACCAAACCATGGAAATTCTATATACTGACCAATGAACCATGAAAATGAGGTCAAGTCAGATGAACCCTGCCAGACAGACATGTACACCTTAAAAATCATTCCATGCATCAAATATAGTTGACCTATTGCTTAAAGTATCTAAGAAATAAAGTTAACCAGGAAAACTGAACATTGACCAATCAACCATGAAAATGAGGTGAAGGTCAGATGATACCTGCCAGACAGACATATACACCTTACAATCATTCTATACACCAAATATAGTTGACCTTTTGCTTAAAGTTTAAGAAAAACAGACCAAAACACAAAAACTTAACATGAGCAATCAACCATGAAAATGAGGTCAAGGTCAAATAAAACCTGCCAGACTGACATGTACATAGTAAAATATTTCCATACACCAAATAAAGTTGACCTACTGCATACAGTATTAGAAAAACAGACCAAAACACAAAAACTTAACATTGAGCAATGAACCCTAAAAATGAGGTCAAGGTCAAATAAAACATGCTAGACTGACATGTACATCCTAAAATATTTCCATACACCAAATATAGTTGACCTACTGCATACAGTATTAGAAAAATAGACCAAAACACAAAAACTTAACATTGAGCAATGAATCGTGAAAATGAGGTCAAGGTCAAATAAAACCTGCCAGACTGACATGTACATCGTAAAATATTTCCATACACCAAATATGGTTGACCTATTGCATACAGTATTAGAAAAACAGACCAAAACACAAAAACTAAACTATGACCACTGAACCATGAAAATGAGGTCAAGGTCAGATGACACCTGCCAGTTGGACATGTACACCTTACAGTCCTTCCATATACCGAATATACTAGATCTATTGCTTATAGTATCTGAGATATGGACATGACCACCAAAACTTAACCTTGTTCACTGATCCATGAAATGAGGTCGAGGTCAAGTGAAAACTGTCTGACAGACATGAGGACCTTGCAAGGTACGCACATACCAAATATAGTTATCCTATTACTTATAATAAGAGAGAAATTAACATTACAAAAAATCTGAACTTTTTTTTCAAGTAGTCACTGAACCATGAAAATGAGGTCAAGGACATTGGACATGTGACTGACGGAAACTTCGTAACATGAGCCATCTATATACAAAGTATGAAGCCGCAGGATCACTATCCCTATGTCGAGCTTTCTGCAACAAAAGTCGCAGGCTCGACAAAAATAGGGTGTGGGTGTAATAATACTTATTAAAAAAATTATATAAGATATTTACATGAAGCCTTCCTCGAAGTTCTCTCTCATTTCTCATCTTAACATAAATTCTTTCATCTAAACTAAGTCTAATAAGATCAAGTGGCTCTTCCACATTTTGCACTGGTACTTGCTTAAATAAAAAACACATATACAATACACACAACTAAAAATTTCATACAATTCATTATACATGTAACATTGTTAAATGTTTACTATTTACATACATAGAAGTTATTTTAAAATATATGGTTTCTTTTGTCGGTTCTTCGCAATAAGGGAGATAACTTGCTTCTTCAGATTCAACAGAACGTCACTTCCAGTCTTGTGATAGATTAGTGTATGCCGATTAAAATCAGTCCTTTTCAACGAAAAAGTACAAAAAATGGCTACTTTAATATGGTTTAAACAAGGAATTATTTGAATCTGGAATAAGTTTGAATTCCGGAAAATTGATAAGAAATGTATGATGAAAACTAACCCAACTAAAGAGGGGTAGCCATGCGTTTACTTTCACTGATATTTTTGTATGAACTAACTAACCACCCTTAGCCATGCATGCCTCCTAAATTGGGTTAGTTTCTTATTAATTTATTCCAGATTCAAATAATTCCTTGTTTTTACTAAACTTCAGTCAATTTCATTTCTGGAATATTAAGGTCATATGTAACCCAATCTTTTGCAAAAGACCCAATGACTTTATCATGTACAACTTTGAAGTATTCATTAGTTAACCCTAAATTAAAACATTTCAGGGGCAATAACTCCTATCAGATGTCATTGGATTGTTTCAGAATAAAATGTTCCACATCTTCATCACAATAATGCAAACATTTTGTACCAGTTCTGTTAAATCTTTAAAAGCTTCAGATGAGATGCAGACATAAGCCAAAGTCAAAATCAAGAACATGATATTGATATTTGACCAGTACCCCATTTTCTTTTCAGTGGACCAAGGAACCTAATATCAAAATAGTATTACCCCAGGTCTCTATCGCTTACGGTTCATGTGATACTATACAATTATTGACTTTTGATGAGGTTGATACAATGATTTATCAACCCCAGAGATATGATATTCACCGAGGCCAATGGCCGAGGGTGAATGTTACATCTCTGGGGTTGATAAATCATTGTATCAACTGAAATCAAGTCAACAATTGTTTTATTATATGACTTTTTATGCTTCTCTAATTTTCTAGTATTTGCTCAAGATACTTTTAAAACTGCTCCCTATTTTAATACTAAATATATCATCTGCTTTTGCAGTTGCTATTTTTCATAAGTTGAAATATTCAATTAAGTTTACTAAAAAAATACACCAAAGACAAGAAGAAGAGAAAAAAATACACCGAAAACAAGAAGAAAAAAGATAAAAACCGGGAATTTACATGTTGTCATAAGCCTACATCATTAACGTTGCCTTGGAATATCTATATTTAGGCTGTTCCAAATCTTATTTTTAACCTCTTGTGATTTTTGTCGTGGTGAATATAATGTTTTATCGAGGAAGATTTCCTATGTTTTTAGCCAATGAGAAAACATAGAAAATCTTCCTATGTTTTTAGCCAATGAGAAAACAGAAAATTTATAGTCATATAATAAATTAATATATCACTTATTTCAAATAGAGGTGAAAATACTCTTGCATAGTCTTCGCATTGCCTCGATTAAAATGGAACAGAACATCCAGACAGGCAATTTGGAAAAATAAATTTGTCTTGGTCTTAAACGGTTTCAGAGGAGCTGTGCTCACAAGAAAACCAGTGTTCGGTAAGAAAACTCTTACAAAAAAAAGTGTATGGCTAAACAGGATGAGCTTCGAAAGCACAATATTTTAAAGGCCAGATTTTTTTTATTATCTGTTATTTTTCCCGCCGACTGTTACAAAATCCTCAGAACAAAAATAAAATCTGTGGTTTACGATACCCACTTTCGTCATCGGTAATATTTAATTTTTACCAAGTCGATGAAACAGCAATTTCAAAGTAAAGAAATTAAAGGCATAAACGATTTATGACTTCAAAAAAGAGGTTAAAGCATTGATTTTTTAAGCTGGTGGCATGTTTTTTCATAAAAACAAATTGTTTAACCCCACTTTCACTGGTACTTGTTACACGAGAGAGTACATCAAATCATTCTAACTTTCGGCTAAATAAGTTATTACTTCATTTGAACTTGATGAAATCAGACTGAAGTAAATATGTAATCCATGTATTGCATTAAAAACGTCATATTCCTTTCCAAAAAGCGTACTAAACATCGTTTATTTTTGTAAAGTTTTCTCCGACATTTAAATTATTGGGTATATTTTTGAAGAACTACGGATCGGAGTCGGGATTTCATCAGAAGCGGACCCGCTTTGACCGAAATCCGGATTCTTGCGATAATGACTACGGACGCATGAATGGTACTGCTGACCATAGATATAATAGCCATAGATAAAGTGCTCAGAATGTGTCCCACTAAGCCCCATGCAGTTTCCTTTGAAGTATCTAAAGCATGACACTGCACATAGTGGCCTGTGATGTAGATGATATTTGCCGACATCCTCCCAATAGACTAATTACTCATCAAAATTATATATAAATTATCGGGCACTCGTCTTATCAGCCTATAATTACTGTGCCTTACCTGTCTCAAGTAAAAATATGCCAGGAGGCGGAGGCAATAAAAAGCGTCTGGTTGTAAAAGTTGTTTGGATTGTAATTTATTTGGAGAAAATCGGTCAACAAATGAGAAGGTTATGCTGTTGTTGAAATAATAAAATAGAGAAATCATGAAAAATGGACTTGACAGATATGTTAAGTTAAATTGTCATAGCTCTTACATCAGTTGCACTCGGGAAATAAGACCAGTATCATTGACAAGAGGAGACATATCGTTTGATGGAATATGTGGTTAAGAGGTCGAACCGAGTCAAATTTTTCTATGGCGATTTAAAGAAAAAAGTTTTTATCAAGATTCAAAAAAGTGAAATCATATTTTATGCCAGAAAGAAGAAATTATTACTTTTTTAGAAAAGAAAATTTTTTTACAAGTATTGAAACTTTCTATCGAAGTTTTAGAAAATAAAGAGAAAAAAGGTTACATTATAAACTTATTAAATGTCTGCACTGTGGATTATAAAAGCTTGAACTAGTTGCTTAAATATATTTACATAAGAAAGTTCTATGTCACTTGATTTTATAAAATGTTATTTGTTTAAATCTCAAATTAATGACATCATTGTCAATGGCAAAATATTTCTGTAAGACTGCCATCTTTCTTTATTTCATTAATTTCTTCTTCCGTAAAATCAGTCGCATCAGTGTCGGACATGATTGTCAATGTAAATGATGTAACGGAAGATTACGATAACTACCGAAGAATGACTTATTACTCTCCAGATTCACAATTTATTAGATATCGATCGACAGCAATTGCCAATGAAGGCTAATTAACACCAAGCGTGACATATATATAATAAGAGGGTGATAAAATTTCGGCAAATATCATCTGCTTTTGATGTGGGTTCAGTACTTTATCTATGGCTATAATATCTATGTGCTGACAGACAAAAATTGATCCCAAAAGGAAAAATTACGCATTCCACACACGTACTTTTGGTTAGATATTTTTGATTAATATTTCCTTTTTAATGCATTGTTTCAATTTATAAGTTAATGTTGCTCAACCATGTCTATTACACTAATATAAAATAATTATATTATTTCCAAGCTTAACGTTTAAATGAATATATCTTTTTAATGAAAAATAATTAATTTCATGAACATGATAACAGAGTAGCTTTTTTAATTGAATTGTATATACAGTATAAACATGTAACATACACTAAGAGGTTCCTGATTGGTAATATACATATATATAGTGTATATGCAGGGAGGTTGATATATTTGCCTGGTGTATATGCATGGATCCAAATTAGAGGACATACAGAATCAAAAGATATTTTTTATGTTCATATTAATAGAAGGGTTAATATACTGGTCTGTTTTCATTTCATTATTCTTGTATTTTGATAAATTCTTAAAAAAAAAAAAAAAAAAAAAAAAAAAAAAAAAAAAAAAAAAATCACTTATAATGGTTTTATTTTTATTTTGAGTGTCAACTGGACCAACTTTGCACTTTTATTTTTTTTTTTATTTCGTCCCCTCCACCCTAATTTTTTACAAATTTTCTTGTTAAACAGATAAAAAAAAAAGTCTGGCCTAACTGTTCTATATAATATCTAAAATATGTCAGGGACATCTTGCGAAACCATGTACAGCGCAAGAAAAAAAAGTGGAGGAAGATGAAAATAAATGACACATATGATGCCCCCGCTTGCATATCATATAAAGTTATAAAGGGACATAACTGAAAAACGGTAAAAGTAACGCTACCCAAATTTGTACTTGATCTGTGTTTTGTGGTAATAAGTATTGTGTATAAGTTTCATAACATTTGGTTGAGGCTAACTTAAGTTAGAACAGAAACGAAAAATTCAGCAATTTTTCCATTTGTAAAGGGGCATAACTCTAGAACGATTAAAGTGACACCACCAAAATTCAAACTTGATTTGTATTTTGTGGTAATAAGCATTATGTAATAAGTTTCATAACATTTGGTTGAGGCAAACTAAAGTTAAAGAACAGAAACGAAAAATTCAGCAATTTTTCCATTTGTAAAGGGGCATAACTCTAGAACGGTTAAAGTGACACCACCAAAATTCATACTTGATCTGTATTTTGTGGTAATAAGCATTGTGTATAAGTTTCATAACATTTGGTTGAGGCAAACTAAAGTTAGAGAACGGAAACCAACTTGGGACGTACGTATGTACGTTCAGACGGACACAGGTAAAACTTAATGCCCTCTCCGCTACAGCAGGGGCATAAAAAATATTAAATCATAACAAAATCAAAAGGTCTTTACACAGAAAGGTGAAACTTTCTGCAAGAAATTTTCTGCAAATGCACAAAAGTAAAATTAGGGTTGGAGGGTGTGAGACAGGAACGGTTGGGAGGCAGGAAATTATATATATTTTTTTAGGCCTAAATAACAGTCATGGCACAAAACACCCATACAACATTTTCCCCTTTAAGACCATAGTTCAAATGTGAACTGAATACACAGATAATGGCATCCAAA